GTCATCCATCGATATTTGTGTTGTTTCCAGTGAATAACATAATTGTGAATATTTGAATTGTGAATTGTGAATAACCTAAGTAAGAACACACACACATATATGTATATATGTTTGAATTATATGTGAGGGAAATTAGTATGTATGTGTGTATGTACTAAAGAAAATAGCGCTTGGCTATTGTAGGTATTATAAACATTGCTTTCTAGTGTGCTTTGACTTTGCCTGTGGTGTTTTTTTTTTTTTACCAGCTAGAATTATAAATTCTGGCCAGATTATATCTGAATATTGTTATAGAGTTGAATTTGTCAGTCTTTTCTTACTTCTGGGTTTTGTGACATAGAAATACCAACATTATATTGAGGTTATAAAACACTCTCCAACCAAAGCTTCCACTCACCTACCCGTTTTTCCTATCAGTATGACAGGAATTAAAAACAGGCCTCATTGCCCCCAGAATGTTACTGTGAGGATCAAATAAGATAGGATATGAAAATATTTTTTATAAAGTATATAGCTACCTAAATATGGCGTGCTGCCTTCTACACTATGAATTGTATCAGATTCTGGCACTAACTAGGTGAAATTTTATTGTTGCTTTCATTCTGTAGAGCTGAGATTGGGAGGTTAGAATTGTTCACTGAGCAGGCCAAGGATTAGTAGTAATGTGGAGTGGTAGAGGGAAGGTGTTCCTATTTTGCCAGAAAAATAGAATTGCTTTAAATCAAAACCTATCCCAGTCACGTTCCAGTCAAATGGAGCCTTTTTATATTTCTTCTTCTACCAGGAAAAGAAACCAGTTTAGTGAGTTTTGTGTTACTCAACTGTAATGATTTTCATTTAAGCTTCACCAATGGCCATTCGTGACATATTTTTCTTAATTATCATTTGTTTAAATGGAAAACTTCAGATTGAACACTGTATTGGAAACATGTGATTATAGAAAGTAAAACATGTTATTGCTTGATGGCAGTTTTGACAATTCCTTTGGAAGAGAATAGTGCACTGACTAATTGCTTGGTTCTGATATTGGTCAGAGCTGGGCTTCTTCTACTGGCTGAATATACTCCTGAGAAAATTGCTTTGCACCTCACTTCCATCAGCTTTAAAGCAAGGATGATTATAGTACATGACCCATTGGGTTGTAGCAAGAATTCAATGATTAAATCTGCATAGAGTGTAAGCTCAATAAAAACAAAACAAAAACAGTATTGGTATAATTCAGAAATATATAAAAGAATTCAGGAAATGAGGCCAAAGGAAGTGAAATACACCTTTCCTTCGGGGTTGGCACAGATCAAATCACATGGTAGAAGTCCTCCCTGATGCATACCACAATTATTTGGGTCCCAGCCTTGGTCATTGGCTCAGTGTGTTTGGGCCTCAAAATAAAAAAAAAAAAAGAAAAAGAAAAAGAAAAAAGATGACACTTGTGGGACTTTTGTTGTATGCCAGATTCTTTTAACTCCTGGGTACATCCTGTTCAATGGATGAGATCATTATCATTTGATGGATGAGGAAACGGAGGCTCAGACAATGTAAGGAACCACCCAGGGCCACTCATAGCTGGGATATGGCGGAGCAAATCACTGTTCCTGCTTCTCAGAAATCTAGCTGTTTCTGCCATTTAGTGCATAGTTCTATGCCACATACTTCTTCAGCTTTACAGAGTTTTTCCTGACATCTCCATGGCTCAATGCAGTGTGTGTGAGTCTTCTAGATGTGTGTGTGTGTGTGTGTGTGTGTGTGTGTGTGTGTATGTAAATTTAACATCATGGCAAAGAGAGCTGACATTTAATGAGAGTTCCTTCCACAAGTGGGCATACAAGATTAAATCACTTTCTGAAGTCATTATGGGCTGGACGCTCCTATAGGAGAGTTAAGGAATCCATTTTTTTGCATTCCAGAGCCCACTGCAGTGACTCCTGTTTGTTCTTTTTTTTTTTTTTCTCTTTGAGAATCTAGGCTTGAGGCAGATGGTACATTTGAGAATCTAAGTCAATCTCAGATCTTATCTTTCTCTACTGGCACTTGTGGCTTTTGCATAGAAGGCCTGAATATACAGAAAATGGTGAGGCCAGGAGGATGTGGGCTGTAGTGTCTATTAATGGACTTTGTGACCTTCTATTTCTGGGCACAAAGCTATAATAAGCCTCATGATTCACCAGTGGGACTTCTGCTCTAAGCCCATCCTGTGCTTTCCCACCTGTGGGCCTTTGCTCCTGCTGATCACTTAGTGGGAAAACCCTGTCCCACCTCACCCTGGTCACCTGGCTACTCTAAGGACATCCATTACAGCTATAGTTTCCTCTGGAAGCCCCTGAGGACTGATAACCTATTTCCTTCTGAGCCCAAATCAAATCATCTGTGACATACCAAGAGAAAGGTAAGTGGAAGACTAAACCTATTTTACAAATTTGGTAAATATTCCTTTTGGGATTCACTGTGCCTATGACAATGTTACCATATGAAATTCAGTGATCAGAGACTCTATATGGTGAGCACTATTTTTTTCCATCTCAAAGCTAATACTTCCTGCACATGAAATGGTTTGCTCTCTCTCATAGAATTAGACTTGGAATATTTCTTTCTTTTTTTATTTTTTGGGGTCTCGTCGTGGGGCCTGAACTCTGGGCCTCGGCACTGTCCCTCAGCTCTTCAGCTCAAGGCTAGCGCTCTACCACTTGAGCCACAGTGCCACTTCCGGCTTTTTTCCTTTTGCTTATGTGGTGCTGAGGAATCGAACCCAGGGCCTCATGCATGCAAGGCAAGCGCTCTACCACTGAGCCACCTTCCCAGCCCAGACTTGGAATATTTCTATGGGAAGAGTCTGCTGTCAGACAGTCTGGGTGGGCATGTTGGTGACCTGAGGTAAGTCATTTTCCCATATTGAAGTCTCCTCTCCCATTTGTGAAAGAACACTGTGTCTAACTTGTACCTTAGCATTTGGAGGTAGTCATAAGAGCTACAGGTACAGAGGGCTGTGCTAAAGTTGGTTTTACATCCTTACTTTCCCCAAGAACTCCCCTCATTTTTAAAAAATTGCATATGTATTTTAATCTCTCAGATGCCAAAATGTACTATAGGAACATTTTTGGAGGAGAAAGAGAGAAATGATAAATGTAAGGAACTCAGAAAACTTCATATAAAAACACTACAAATAACCTAATTTAGGACATATAATTAAGTTTAAGAGGTCAATGTCCTTTTCCTCCCCTCATTCTTTTTCTTTCCTTTTTTTTTTTTTTTTGTCAGTTGGTCATGGGGCTTGAACTTGGGGGATTGCTGTCCCTAAAGCTCTTTTGCTCAAGGCTAGTACTCTACCACTTTGAGTCACAACATCCCTTCCCGTTTTCTGGTGGTTAGCTGGAGATGAGTCTTGCAGACTTTCCTTCCCCAGCTTGCAATCCTCGATCCTTGGATCTCAGTCTCCTGAGTAGCTATGATTACAGGTCTGAGCCACCAGCATCCGGCTTCCTCCCTTCATTCTCCCCTGCCCCTTTCCACAGACATAAACTGTTTATTGAGATTGATCAGCAAGGGGCACAGCCTTCCGGTGGGCTTGGAGACTGTGCTAAGAACTGGGACAGGACTTGAAGTTTTATGTTTCTCTTCAGATCGCAAAAATCTTTCGCCTTTTACCTCCTCTCATTCTTGATGTCTCCTATTCTCTAATATTTTTTCTCTCCATAGTATTTCCATTTTCTACCATATTATATAATTTATCATTTAGTTTCTGTCTTGCCTTCTCCCACAGGGCCTCCAGTAGGAGGCCCTATTCAACTCCAGTAGATCCCACTGAGGATGCATTCTGCTCAGCGCATACTTTCACCAAGAATGTTAGTCTTAATGGTGGTTACTTCTCCAGAATTGTGTGATTGGGGAATGCAAGGCAGGAACTACAGAAGGACAGGGTTTTGGTGGTTGTGGTTGTTGTTGTTTTTGGTCGATTTTGAGGATTGCTGTGTCTCTGTGACTAGAACAATACTGGACTTATAACTAAGCTTTAAGCAAATATTTGTTGAAAGAATGAATGAAAGAGCTACCAAAAGAGATCCCATTTTACTGATGAAGAAACTAGGCTGAGTGAGTTAGACATTTGCACAAAGCTTCATGAGACACTGACACAGCTGTTTGTGACTGCACCCCTGCTCTCAATGGCTTTTGCAAAGCTAAGTGTTGCAAACTCCTGGCTTTGTTCCCTATCCAATACTTGTTTAAAAAATATTAATGCCCTTCCCTACAAGGCTCAGGCCCTCTGTTAGATTCTTAGGTGGAGTGATAAACTGTCATGTAGCTGTTGACTTGAAAGACTGAATTAAATTGCACAAAAGGAGAATGTGTAATTTTTGTTAGAAAAAAAAAATCCCTAGCTCAACTGCCAATAGCTGGGGTGTGTGGGAGCCTCCCAGGCTTTCTCAACCTGATTTTTTCCCCCTGCAGCCTTCCCTTTTGTGAGCTTTTCTTCCCCTTTTTGCTTGCAGTGAATTCTGCTCTCCTGTAGGCTACAATGTGTCAGTTGTTATAAAATCCGGGAGGCGGAGTCTAGTGACGAGCTCGGTCGGGGGGAGAGATCCGCCAGCCCTGCAGGGTGAGAGCAGCACTGGGCTCACGGGCTCACGCGAGCTCAAGCACTGCCCCAGGAAAACTTGATCTCGATCTCTTGGCTTTGATCCTCACTGGACATCAGACCAGAGGCACCGAAGAGAGGGAGGATGCGAGATGACTGGCCCTCTGGCAACCTGACCATCTCCTTAGCAGAGCCTTCCAAAGCAAGCTGGGGGCTGGCTGCACAACCCAGGAGGCGCCGCGCCTCTCGCCTCTCCTGGATGTGTGTGTGTGAGTGAAAGAGCGGGTGTGGATGTGGGTGAGTGAGGGTATGTGTGCATGTGTGTGTGTGTGTACACATCACGTACACATCACGACTGTGTGTGTCTAGATGAGTGTGCATGTGCACGGGTGAGTGTGTGTGTGTGAGTGTGGGTGGTGTGTGGGTGTGTGTGTGATCCTGGCAATTATTATTCTTTTTGGGAGAAAAATCTTGGAAATCTGGGGCAGTTTACTGTGCTCCTGAGGCGATTGTCTTTTTCAAGAGCTGACCAGTGCAAGCTACTTAGAGCCATTTTCTTGGAAGTAAAAAGCATTTTCCTCCCTGAAGAAGGATTTTTTACTCCTGCTCTGCAGTCAAGTAAGAGAGATTAGTCCCTAAGCCTGTGAAATTGACCAGCACCGTGTGATTACCAGGGCTCCAGAAGGGACTCAAAAGGAAAAGAGAAAGAAACCAAGCAAACTGTCAGTTCCTTTGGCCACATCAGAAGATGTCATCTCAAACTAAGTTCAAGAAAGACAAAGAGATCATTGCTGAATATGAAGCCCAAATAAAAGGTGAGATACCCGCTGAGGGACTTTGCCTTTCCTTTTCTTTCCTTTCTGTTTTCCCTTGCTCTGGCTTTTCTCCTTTTTCCTCCCTGCCATCACAAAATGTTGCTATGCATCAATAATCTTATTGTGAGGAGGAACAGTGGCTGCCACACAAGTCCAGGCTGGTTTCCACTGCAGATAGCGCCGGGGCTGGAAGTGTGGATTCTGGAGAGGGCAGCAATCTCTGCATTGCAGGTGTGCGAGGAGGATCCTACGCCTGACTTTAGGAGTGTCGCCGGTACTCCATCATCTTGGCAGTGATATGTCACTCTAGGCCATTTTGACAGTCACAGCCTCTCCTCTTCCCTAGCATGGTAAAAGGCCCTGAATATTGATGCCTTTTTCCCCTCACTATGATCTACTCCTCCTGTCCTCCTTTTGGCTTTGTTGTTGTGATGGTTTTGCCTCTCTCCCTTTTTCTGGGCAGGAATTCACATGCATGTGTTCAGGGAGGCAGCATCCCTGGGCAGCCCTTCTTTGTTGGTGTCTCTCGCCTGGCCTGGGTTGCCATGGATTAACTGTTATGAAGCATATTGATCCAGACTAATGCAGGCATTTAGGCATAAAGAGAGAGCTCAGTGCAGAAAATGTATTACCGTGCATTTGCAGCCCGATCCTTCTGTGCACTAGTGTTTAGGGTCATTAGTGTTGGTTCAAAGCCAACACCTTTGCATGCATTTAGGCTGTTGGGCACTGCTTGGCTTTCGTGGCTTCCAGGGAAAGCTGGCCAGGAGAGTGAGATGACCTCAGGCTGCTGCTTCCAGCTTTGGTGCCATCAAATGCACACTTCTTTCAGAAGCCGCTCCCTAAATCCATGCTAGCTGGAAGTAATGGGGAAAGGGATACACTACATAGCTAAGCCCAGGCCAGATCTGGGCTTCTTCCATTCTCAGGAGTTTTAAGCTCAGCTTTGACAAGAAAAAAAAATCTCCAATCTTTGTGCAGCGTGTTCCTTCTTCCCGGAGGCTGCCCCCTAAGAGAAGCTGGGCACGTGGTGCTTGGCATCTGTGTTCTTTCTGGTCATGGTTCTCTGTGCTGCGACACAGGACAGCAGTGTTGCGGTCTCTTACAGACAGAGCAAAGACAAAACACACCTTCCATGGATGTGGAGGCCTGTCTTGGAGCTTTCATAGGGTCTGTTGAACAAGTTGATTTGGGGGTCTCGTGAGACCTGTGGTTGCCACACCTACTTCTAGAGCTGCTGTGGCTGAAGATTCCATGTTCTGGGAAGTCAGGCGCCTTGGGAGTGTAGACTCTGGAGGCTACAACCTCAACTGCGGTCCTAGCCTCAGATGCTGCAGCGGCTTTGGAGGGGCGGGGGCAGTCGCCAGGGGAGGGCTTTGTGTTTACCACTGTCTATCTTTTACTCTTGTTCAAACCTAGCATGCTAACCACCTCTGAGCAGAGTCCAGGGTAAAAGAAGTAGAGTCTCCTCTTCCTAGGTCACCGCCTCCTTAATTTTCAGTTCAATGTCAGAAACTGTGATTTAGGAAGCTTGAGCCTTGATGACAATTTAGAACAAGTGGTCAGAGATTCGAATTTACCTGTCTGCTTGGTACAAAAGCCCATTTCCATCTTTGAATATACAGACATTTAACCCAAAAGTAGTACATACTTTTTAGGGGAGTTCATGTTTTGTAAGACTAACTTAGCTGTTCCTTTTTTTTTTTTTCTGAAGATCAAGGTCCATGTGAAAAATTATATGATAGAGAAGGTGATGTTGAATTTTGGATAGTTTGGGTATAAGCACATTGTCTTGTAGCAAATGTGCTTATCTCATTTTTAAAAAATGGCTACTACTAGGCCGGTCAATGAGGACCAGTTAGGCATTGATTTGTTTGGCTGATTCTTTTTTACCTTTCACCTTTATTTTACCAACCAGTCACCAAGTGCTAGGTAATGAATTTCATCTGTAAAGTTGTCCAAATGATCTTGTCTGCTACACTTTGAATTCCTCTGCACTCTGGTTGAAGGAGTGTAATTATATTCCTTTAGAATTGACACTGAATAATATTGTTGCATTAGCTGAAGCCCATTGAAATCTTTCCCTTCATAATTCTATTTGTTGGCCTGGGGTGTAACTCATCAATAGAACACTTTCCTGGTGTGCAAGGCCCTGGGTTCCAGCCCTAGCCTCACCAATATAAATAAATACATATATATTTAAAAATATATATTATATATCTCTCTATATATTTGTTAATCACTACCATCATTATTAATGTGTCTAGGCTAATCTGTTTCTACAGCTTATTCCCAAACAGGGACCAGCAGAGTTGGTATAAGCTCAGTGTCAGAGATGGGAAATAGAGGCTCAGCACTGTTCAGTGACTTGCCCAAGGTCACAAGGCCGGGCTTCTCCCAGGCCTGGTGCTCCCTGCTGCATTGTTTGCCAGAAGCTGCCCCTTGATGGATTGATGTCAGGAGCAGATGGCAGTCTTGTGGGGGAGACTGGCCAGTTCTCCTCCAGGCTCCATTGTTCCCCTCTCACTTTCATTCCATTGCCTTTGTCGCTTGCCTCTGAGGAATGTTTGACCAGTGACCAAAAGGAATGCTGGATGTAGTTACCTTTCTCCATGGTATCATTTGACTGGCTTGGTGCATAAGAACCTACTGTATTAGGCAGATTTTACACTCTGTGAATTTTGCAAAGGGAATGTGTGATTTTCAGAAATGATGCTGACTTATTCCCTCTTCTTTCTGAAGCATTATTGATTTAACAAAGGAGAATGTTTTTAAACAGTATATTTTGTTTATATATTTAGATTTCTCTTGACTCATGAGAAACTTGGATCACTTTGATTATATACTTGAAATGTCATAGTAAACCATACACTTATATATTTCCAGTGATAGAGAACTTAGTATGTCCCATGCTTATGTGTACTATCTTTGGACAGCTCTAGCTCACAGGTCGCATAGATCTCTGCCTATTGGTTATATAGTTCCTTCCCCTTGGGACTTAGAACAAGACAGGTGCCTTTTCTCTGTGACTACTCATTGACTTTTTGGAGCCTCTTGAGTACAGCCACTGCCATTAATGTCATTTACATAAGATGGCTCACTGCCACTCACCACCTTCATTACTTCTTTGGATCTTCTATATATTGGTTACAGAGCTCTACGTCTTTGGTGCCTGGAAGAAAGAATGAATGAGTGAAGTTGACCATGTTGACAGTTGGCTATATTCTGAGAGCCATAGAAGAAAGGGTGGTGATGATGATAGTGGGCCAGTCATTATCCACTGGAATATAGGTTCAACTACATCATTCAATTTAAAAAAACAACAACAATAAAAGATACTAGTTGTCTGGGTGAAAGCTTTATGGTTTTTTTTAAGAGTTTGCCAAAAGGACATTTTCCTATCAATATCCAGTAAATCAATACCTAGTAAATCAATATCAGTATCAATACCTGTCTACAAGTTAGGCACTAAGTTCTAAATGTGATTTTCTAGATGCACTCAAAGAAAGAAAACAACTATCGCCATCTTTATGCTGTCTGTAATACTTCTGTTAATATAGCCCTCGGTTGAATTAGCCCTTTTGCTTCTCATTGCATGTACTATGTATATTCTGTCTGCTATATTTCCTCTAATTTGCGAGTCTAAGAGTCTCATCAGAAAGAAGGAAGTGAAATGGATTTACTCTGACTTGCTCTTGGTGACATTGTCCTGGCTCCAAATGAACATTGCTTCCTCTCCTAGGTGCTTGTACTGTTCCTATCCAAATCTGTTCAGGAGCCTTGCCTGAGAGTGACATCACATTCTCTAGTCTGGAGCTGGCAGGCTATAACTTTTTTCTCTTTGGAAAAATCAGAACAATATTTGCATATCTTGAGATTTTTGGCATCTGTCCCACTCCCCACAATTCCCTCAAAGATCACTGATAGTGTTTGGTGCTCTTATTTTCAGGCATTTGCAGTTTCCTGGGCTCTAATTGATCTTGCTGCTAGACACAGTGGTCTGCTTTGCATTTATTCAGTTACTACTTCCCATTTCAGCCTCACAGAAAATTGCAATAGAAGTGCAGTGATGGTAGACTGGAGGGCCTTATTATTTATTTTATGTTCATATTCATTTAAGGCCATCTTTTTAATAGCAAAAGTCTAGATTTGGGGGTAAGAAGAGCAGGTATTAAAGTATTACAGAGTTATATGTATGCATTCTTTGTTTTTTTTTTGTTTGTTTGTTTTTTTTTGGTCCGGTCATGGGGCCTGAGCTCTGGGCCTGGGCGCTGTCCCTCAGCTCTTCAGCTCAAGGCTAGATAGCGCTCTACCACTTGAGCCACAGCACCACTTCCGGCTTTTTTCTTCTTGTTTATGTGGTGCTGAGGAATCGAACCCAGGGCCTCATGCATGCAAGGCAAGCACTCTACCACGGAGCCACCTTCCCAGCCCTGTATGCATTCTTTGTTTATGCATTCTTTTAGCAATCATTGGTTATCTACTTTGTACTTTGTTTTGTACTGAGTGTTGTGGGAGACACAAAGTATATGACATATCCATTGCCTTCTGAGAATGTCTTTGGAATATTGTAATAAAATATGAGAAGAAAATAAAAAAGGCGAAAACATAGAAAATTCATTCTGAGCACCAAAATGAGTTTAGTCTATTTTGTTCTTTCCTGTTCTGGTTTTTGGCTTTTTTTTTCTTTCCTTTTTTAAGACAGGGTCTGGCTATCTAGCTCAGGCTGGCTTGGAAATAACTATGTAGTCCAGGCAGGCCTCAAACTTAAGATCTTTTTGGTCTCCATCTCCTAAGGGCTGGGATTACAGGCAAGTACTACCATGCCCAACTTGAGCTTCATCTTTAATTGTGCATACACACAGGAACGGAAGAACCTTCTTAGGAATGGCCCTGGATTTCAGCAGGATTAAAGCTGGAAAACAGGCCAGAGTGAGGAATAGTGGGAGTGACAGAGACTGTGGTCAGCTGAGTAATTTATCAGGAGGGGAAGCCTCCAC